TGAAGGAAGAAAGGGGAGGAAATAGAAAGACTACAAAGAGTGTGGATAGGACTAGAAAAAGAGGAGTTTCTAAGGGGAGTTTTGGAAAGACAGAAAGGAAAAAAAAAAGTATACTCTTTTAAAATACCTTTTTAGCTAGCTGCATGGTGAAAGAATTAGTCAAAGAAAATGTTGGAAGACTAAGGAAGATTTTAAGACGTTTTATTGTGAATTTGGAGTCCTGGTGTGGTCCTATAGGATAAGCACTGGTCTGTTAGCCACAAGGTTGGTGGTTCAAAACTTCCCGCTGCTCCTTGAAAACCCTCTATAGGGCCGCTATGAGTCGGAACCAAGTCAAGGACACTTAAAAATAATAACATTGTAGATTTGTATTCCTTTTCCAGTATTTGAGAAACACAGGTAAAGTATTGAAATTATTTTTGACTGCTCTGCTATGTTTCTTTGATTTGAATCCAACCCACTTGAGACTGCGCTATGTGGCTAACAGTTACATTAGGGATACATGTATATTCAAAACCATTATTGTTCACCACTTCTACATTCAGTGCCCCCAGGCTCTGAATTTATATATATACAGGAGGGAGTCTTTAACAAGTTCATGGAACATATATAGTATGGCAAAACTGTGCATGGATTCCAAAGTGTTTTTGCATCAAAATAAACTTGTACTAACTTGTTATAGCATGTCTCAACAAGGTCTATTTTGAGTTACTAAGAAGGTTAAAACATCAGTTTGAAAAGAGCCCCTATCAGAACAACATGAATTCTGCTAAAATTGAAACCAAAACAAACATGAAAATTTATGGTGAAGCTTGTGTGGAAGAATGGTGAAATCATTGGTGCTTTCCAAAAAGTTTATGGGAACAATGCTACAAAGAAATCAACAGTTTACAGATAGATAACTTATTTTAAGAAGTAAGGCCTGCAGCGGCAGACCGTCCACATCAATTTTCAAGGAAAAATTTGACCCTGTTCCTGTCCTCATTGAAGAGGACTGACGGTTAACAGCAGAAACAACAGCCAACACCATAGGCATCTTAATTGGTTCCGTTTACACAATTTAATTCTGTTCTGACTGAAAAATTAGAGTAGAGCAAGCTTTCTACTTGATGGGTATCAAAACTGTTGTGACCAGATCAGCTGCAGACAAGAACAGAGTTTTAATGCAAATTATAAACAAGTGGGATCAAGATCCTGAAGCATTTCTTCAAAGAAGTGTAACAGGAGATTAAACATGGCCTTAACAGTGGTGGCGGTTGTGTGCCACAAAGTGGGTTCCGACTCATAGCCACCCTGTATAGGGTTTCCGAGGCTGTAAGTCTTTACAGAAGCAGAAAGCCTCATCTTTCTTCTGTGGAGTGACTGGCAGATTCAAACTGCAGACCTCCTGGTTAGGTAGCCCAGTTCGTAATCCACTACGCTACTAGATTTTACCAGTTGTTTTTGTTATTGTTAAGTACCACTGAGTCAGTTCTGACTCACAGCTACTCTGTATAGGATTTCTAAGGACTGGCTGGTGGATTTGAAGTGCTGACCTTGCAGCTCAAACTGACCTTGCAGTCCAGCGCATTATCCTGTAGCACCACGACAGAGACAAAACACACTCAAAGTAACGGCTAGCAAGGAGTGAAAATGGTTCAAAGTAAAAGCAGTAAGAACAAATGTCATGTAAACATTTTGAAAGGATGCTCAAGGCATTTTGCTTGATTACTTTCTGGGTCAAAGAATGATAGTGTTGGTGGTTATGTGCCGTGGAGTCTGTTCATACTCATAGCTAGAGACCCTGTACAGGGTTTCTAAGGCTGTAAATCTTTATGAGAGCAGAAAGCTTCATCTTTCTCCC